AATAATCTATAATATTAATTTAATTTAATTTTTATATTATACTAGCATTGCCCGCGGCTCCGCCCGCGTTCAGATGACCAAAAACCAAATTCTTAGGTTTTACACATTAGTATAGGTACATTCACATTGCAGTTTTTGTATTTTTTCTCAGAAATGAGATATTTTCCAAAAAAAACTATCCTATATGTTGACCCGGATAACCAGCTGTCACCATACCAAATTTCATCAAAATCCTCCAGTGGTTTTCCTGTGATGCGGTAACAGACAGACAAAAATTCTAAAAACTAAAGATTCGGCCTCTGTATCGATAATAATGACTATTTCAATAAGATTTTCCAAAAAAATATTTAATATACAGATTCGGATCAGTGACAATTTTATTATATGTATAGATAAACGTGTATGAACGTAATTTTCATCTTTTTGCCAAAATCTAATTCTAATAGATAAGGTTTTAATTCGTATTTTAATATTTTGAAGTAACCACGAGGCTATCAATAAAATCTACCAAAAAAACAGCTAATAACATTAAACACCATCATAAGTATACTCGTGACTAAATATTTAGATAAAATATGTATACCTATATATTAATATTTTATATATTGTATAGATAGTAATAAATTTAAATTATCACCATAACTATCTTAATTACACTCTCGTTTTGACAACTGAATAGCGGCTGTTACACAATTTTCCCAACACTTTCCCAGGTTGATTAATAATGTGAACTTGCAAGTTAACGTAAGTTTTTGTTGCATTACATGTAATTTAAAAAAAACCTTTATTGTATACCCAGTAAAGACGAGAGCAAAATAAAATACAGAAAGATTAGAAAATGTACAAGAGGCCTTATCGCTAAAAGAGCGATCTCTTCCAGACAACTTTAAGGTGCAGGAAAATGGCACTAAGATAGAAGCGTATGATTTAAATAAGGAGATAAAAATATATATATATATAATATATATATATATTATATCTATAACTGGTATATCGGGACAAAGTAAAATATATAACTAAAAGTTATATCCGTCAATGATTATGTAGATATATAATTTTGAAATTTTTACAATATTTTCCACATTTTCGAAGGTTCTAGTAATTAGAAAGCGATTCGTGTTGCAAATAGCTGGTCATATGGGCACACTTGCTTAATGCGGCGCACGCGCACGTGCCCCGGCTTTCATAGTGGACACCCAAGGCTCCAATACGTTATTGTGTAACTAATCATTAATAATTATTAGAATTTTATCTCAGATTTACACTATCTTGTAATAATAATTAAATATTCTAATTTAATTGAATATTTCACAAACGTTTTATTCATTTGTTTTCAAAAAACTTACTTATTGAAGATGCTTAGTCTTATTTTAAATTACGGCACTTCTTAAGTTCTTATTTGTGCGTTACGATTGATATAATAAAGCAAGTTGTAAGTAATAATAGAAGATTTCAATATCCTTACTAATATTATAAAATGCCAAACTGTGTTTTTTACTCTGTGCTTTTTATTCTATTATTTTTTTATAGCAACAAACAAATCAACGTAGTTTGCATTAAGGTAGTTCATATATCGAACAGTAACATATGCCTCTTTTTAACATGATACATGAAGTAGTTCTTAGAATATCAGCCCAGTAAAAATAAGTTGCATGCTACGTAATCTATACATATAATAAAATTGTAACTAAGTCGAATCTGTACATTAAATATTTTTTGGAAAATCTAATTGAAATAGACATTATTATCGATACAGAGTCTGAATCTATAGTTTTTAGAATTTTTGTCTGTCTGTCTGTCTGTTACCGCATTACGTGAAAACCACTGGACAGATTTTGATGAAATTTGGTATGATGGTAGCTGATTATCCGGATCAACATATAGGATACTTTTTACCGCGGGAAAATATGTAATTTCTGAACTACAAAAACTTCATTGTAAGAGTATACTAATATGTAAAACCTAAGAATTTGGTTTTTGGTTATCTGAACGCGGGCGCAGCCGCGGGCAATGCTAGTATAATTTAAATAACATTCAAATAAAATAACATGATAAATATATAAAATTTCCTTTCATCCTGTAACATTATAATATGCATAAATATAGAAAAAAATCGCATTAATTTTCAAAGACGCTTAAAATGTAAAGTAATTTTATACTATAGATTCCATTTAGCAATTGAACCGTACTTAAACTTGACTGGTATTTTACTGGAAAATTATCCCTACTTAACCATATTATATAACCTTTAATAACTAGTTTGACTTGTTAAACTGAAATAATTGGTTTATAAGCATGTTTCAAAGAACAATAATAAGCCAAGTGATAATAGCTTAAAATACATTATCATATAATTGAAAAATTAAAAAGTCGATCTATAACTAAGGATGGATCTATTGTCGTCCATTATAAATATATAAATCGATATTTTTATTATGAGGTTATAAAAATTTAATAATTTTTCATACATAGGTTATGTAATCACTATATATTAATTCAAAGCATTGAGTATATTTAATAAAAAAAATTATAGTGCAAAATCAACCTCTAAAACAAGGTCATTGATAAATTGCTACACAAACTTATTGTTTTGAATTGGCGAGGACATGTTGCTTAAGCATTACATATTGTTATTTTATTTGGAAGTCATTAACATCAACGTTCTCCTTTTTTTCTAGAATATTTCAAATATTAATAATTTCTAATAGATAAAAATATGACTTGTAATTTTAAACTACATTTTTGTAATAGAGCATAACGTTTTTTCTTTACTATTTTTACAAAATAATGACCACAAAGTAAATGTAACTATTTTAGAAAAATGCAAGAAAAGGTTTTACGTCGATATTCTTTATCAATGTAAAAATCAAATAATACTACAGTACAGTAGGTAGTACAAGTAAACTGCCTCGGTGGTGTAGTGGCTAGCATGTACGGCTGCACACCCGGAGGTCCTGGGTTCGAGTCCCGGGTCGGGCCAAGTTTAGTTATTGAGTCTTCCTGTATAGTAAGTCTCAGTAACAGCCCGGAGTAGGGAAGTTGGCGGTGTTTCACCCCCGTGCCTCGGAGAGCACGTAAAGCCGTCGGTCCTGCGCCTTAACTCTCACCGGTCGTGTCGAGTGGTCGTCCCACCGGAGTATGAGAGTGATAGGAATAGAGAGTGCACTTGTGTCTGCGCGTACACTTGAGCACTGTAATATCTCCTGCGCAGTTGGCTAATCTCATTGAGATTGGCCGCCGTGGCCGGAATCGGCTAGGAGAACATCATCATCACAGTACAAGTAATTTAAATAATCTACACTTATGATAAAACAGTACGCGTTTCACGCAAACCGTACTGAACCGATTTTAACTAAATTTTGTATAGTGATAACTTATTACTCGGGTCAACATTTTGGATACGTTTTACTACAGAAAATAAAAATATTACAGAATAGAAAATTGTAGGTATTAATAAGGCTAAGATATTTCTGTAAATCAGCATTCGCAGAAACATTATAACGATAAAGATTTTTAATCTATACTTCTATACTAATATTATAAAGAGGTAAAGTTTGTGAGTTTTTGAGTTTGTGACGTTGTAGAGGGTAATCTCTGGATCTACTAAACCGATGTAGATGAAATTTGATAATAAAATAGTTTGAGACCATGGGAAGGACATAGGATACTTTTTATCCCGCAAATCATCCCTTAAAGGGGGTGAAAATGGGCATGAAAGTTTGTATGGGGAATCAACCTAGGGACAAACTCGAGCAAAGCGAGGGTGAGTCGCTAGTATGTATTATAAAGAGGTAAAGTTTGTGAGGTTTTGAATTTGTAACGTTGTAGGGGGTAATCTCTGGATCTACTAAACCGATTTAGATGAAATTTGGTAAGGAGATAGTTTGGGACCCTGGGAAGGACATAGGATACTTTTTATCCCGTAAATCATCCCTTAAGAGGGTGAAATTGGGGATGAAAGTTTGTATGTGGAATCAACCTAGGGACGAACCCCAGCGAAGCGAGGGTGAGTCGCTAGTTTAACAATAAAAGGGTTTAATAAAAAAAATTAAAAGCTCCATAATTTTTATTTTTTAAATATGATAATTTATGTTCTCGTTTCATCAGCCTAAGTTAAAACATGGTCAAAATGAAATAGATTCAATCCAAGTTTGCAAACTGGTTGTTGCAGCATGAATAAATTAAATTTTATTTATTTCTGTCTATGAAAGTATTAAATACTTTAGTTGCTCTTATATATTTTACTAGATTTTTTTCCATACTAAAATTTATTAATTATAATTAGAACAGAATTCAATAAATCAATCTATTGTATCAACAAAACTGTTAACGTAACACTCTGTTTTTGTAGTTACGTGGCTGTAGTTTGCAATCAGGCGTAGATATCGTTACGTTCATGTACACTAACTGATCGTTACGAGTCGGAAGTATTTCCTTAAATTATACCAATAGTTTTACTATAGTAAACATAGCTCCTACGTGATAACGACTTCTACCGGATAAAAGACTGCTACGTATTTTTGCGTGTTTAGAGTCTTAATTGTAGCGTGATGTAACATATGATTACTATATTTTAGACAATATCGTATTATTAGAAAATGCGGAAATTTTTAAATAGATTTTGAATCAATTTAAAATTATTGCTGTAATGTTTTCGGCACAGAAGGCAAGCGTCACGCTCGTTTAAGTTTTTTGCATGATTAAACGCGCTCTACAGTCTTTTCGTTCTTTCGTACAGTTGTACAGTTTTTATAAATTACTATAGTTTTAATTTAGGCAAAACTATATATTTGTTATAGTATTTATATTATTTATATTCAAATTTAAAAAGAAAAGGTATATTTCTTATATGTGAGTTTAATTTTATCAGCTTGTTTCATATAACTTGTAATGTACACATTCAATTTATTTCTTACTGCATCTTCGTTTAAAAAATTAAATATAGCGTATTCTTCGATCAACGTATATCAAAGTTGTTGTACAATAATATAATCACTCACCTAATCTCGATCAGCTTATTTACTAATTCAAATTGCAATTCTCTCTTCCTTATGAAAGCTTCGTTTCGAACAAATCACAAACAAATAAAATCGTCTGACTCTTGCCAAGGTGGTTATAATACCTAAATATTTATTGGAGAGATTGCAGTGTAGATAGATACACTTTGAATCGAAATTGTCTATAAGCGGTATCACGTAATTTTGGAACGTTTCCGAGTGTTGCAAGCGCGGCAGAGCGCGTGTGGAGCACGGGAAAGTTCAGCCTCAACTGTTTTCTTGTCTCGGCTGTCGGCAATGCGCTAAAGAAACCCCGTTTATTGATAAAGATGCAGTCTCACAATATAAACTTGCTGTATTTATATGTCATTTAATTGTTGTAGATATATTATCTTTTTGATCATCATTTAACATTGCTTTTACGATTTTAAATTTAAATTCTCCGTACAAACTTAGCAGGAAGTATGTATGTATGTACCTACGAAGCTGTACACATGAATACTTTTTTCTTCTTTAAAGTACAAATCTAAAAATGTATTTATAAATTATTCCAATAGAAAAAAATCATAATAAGGAATTTAATAAGAAATTGTATAGGATTATATAGAGCTAGTTGAGCTAACTTGGTTAAGATTGTTTTTGTTCTGAAATAAATAAAAATATAATTTAAAGAATATTATTCCTTTGACCGATTTTGAAATTTTTTCGCTACTTATTATAGTATAGTAATAAATTTTGCGTAAAATATCTATAATCTTATAATGTCTCTTATTATAAGATGGATTCCTTGAATCCTAAATTATAATTACTAAAATTTAAAAATAGAAAAAAGTTTTTAGTTTAACATTGGTAATGCACAAGTCCAAGTAGTTACCTAGGACACATACATATAAAAGAAAAAAAGAAAAATGCTTGACGGAATGTTTTCGATTTAAAAAGCAAAATAAGGTGTTAAGTATGACATATAATAAATATAGCACTTAGGTGCTAAATATCTTCAAGTCACAAAATAAACATCTTAGAGACTTTAGTCAAGCGACCTTGACCCAAGAGACCTGTTATATGTACCTCCGTTACACAAATACCAATTTTGTTAACTTTTACCTAATAAATGACTATTCCATTTTTTTTTGTTAGTAAAACATATAATAAAAGCATGCGATATCCATTATACACAGTATAGAATTGCTCGAGTTGAGTGCAATATATTTAATCCATAGAAAATCCTGTACAGTTTTTATTTACCACACGTCGATTGTATTACGTTTAAGACGCAGAATGTTTTCTTATATCTTACTTTCATTAAACAGAAATGCTTTATGACTCAATAAAAATATAGAGGGTGTAAATAAGATTTTGGACTCCTTATGAAATTAATAATTTTTACCTGTTTATTGAGAAAGGCTTAGGTTATATAACATATATTATATAATAGTCTATTTATTCCATACTAACCGTTAAAACGTACCTAGGAACGAACGCGAACTAACATAAAAGAAGATCATATAACAGATAATGATCGTATAATAGATGATGATAACATGATACGTTTCCCTATAACACTTTCTAATACGCCGGAGGTCGTCAAGTTCAAATATCTCATGACAAGCGTTCAAGGATCTTCGGAGCCTCATCGTTAATATCATCAACATAAATATATTTTTGGGTTTTATTATGACGTGTTTCCCGTGGGAATGAGATAATCTTCCGCGGTAAGAGGTTGCCTATGTCACTCTCCAGACCTCCAACTATCTCCACACAAAAAATTACGCCAACCAGTCACTCCGTTTTAACGTGAAAGAAAGATAAACAAACAAGCAAACAAAGAAACAAACAAACCACACTTTCACATCTATACTATAATAAAACTGTACAGGTCGAATGTACGTAGAAAAAAAATTGCTAAAAACCGTGTCAGGGGGATGTAAGAAGACAAATAGAACAAATCCAGTTTTTTTTTCAATTTTCTTGTTTCTCTGTCTGTTTTTACGGAATAATCTCCGAATCTATTGGACCGATTTAAATGAAATTTTGCATGGTGATACCTTATATCCCCGGGCAACATTTTAGATACTTTTCATTTCATTAAAGAGTTCCTATGGGATAGTTAAAAAACTATAGTAACTTATACAGCTTAGTACACAACAACCTATGCACCTAATTTAGTAAAGTTTGGCATGCTGATACCTTATATTGCTGGTCAAACAACAGGTTACTTTTCATCCCGGAAAAACGAATGGTTCGTTCGTGGTAGGTAATCCTTTATTGCATCGAACCAATTCCCAAAATAGGTCCTAATTTAAATATCATCACTAAAAAGCACTAAAAATTTAAAAGTAACTGATTGGTAGTATTCATTTACTAAATATACCTAATCAAATATTTTCGAAGTCGCTGTGCTTTGCTTTGTATCGGCTGGCACCGACTTCGGAATTGGCCTTACCATCAGATCAGGTCGACAATACTGAACCACTGTACTATCAACGGAAATAGAAACACTTGCAAAGTTTCAAGTCAATATGACAATTAGAAGTAGATTTAATTCATCATTAGCTGTTTTTCCACCCTTAGGGGTGGTATTTTTTTTTTGAAATTTAAATGGGACTAATCTGGAAGTATACCCTTTCAAACAAAACAAAATTTGTCCAAATCGGTTAATAAACGACGAAGTTCAGAAGTAACAAACATTAAAAAAAAGAAAAAAATATACAGCCGAATTGAAAACCTCCTCCTTTTTGAGGAAGTAGGTTGAAAATGTGAAAACGAAGACACATGACCGAACGACAGTCCTAGAAATAGCTATATTCTACAAATGTACCGCGCTAAGACAAACATCTAACACGTATATATTTCGTACTCGTAGTTTCAATAGTGATAGTCGAATCACAGAAAACTTCGCGGTATCACTGGATCTTCCAGAAAAAAGTCTAAATCTATGCCTTGATTTTATTGAAACCACTTCATATAACACAATCAAACCATATAATATACTCTCTGGCCCGTAATCTCGAAGACGATACATTATTTACAATAGTTCCGCTTGAAAGGACCAACCAATAAACAAACTTTCGTATTATTAACATATTAGTAAGGATTACTGAAGTTGTAAGCCTAATGCACTTTCAATATAAACATTATGTAGCATAATGTAGAATGTATACGCAACGCAATAAAGAATGTTGCGAGGTGTATTACAGTAATAGCTCTAAGTTGTGGCTACATAATAGGTAGTGCTCACTAATTGGATAAATACCAAGTTTTTGACTCGACAACATCTTGGTACAACCATTATAAAATTAAAGTTTCCAAGGACGACCTATAAAATAATACACTGTATGTAACATATAGATACATATATATTCCATTCTAGCTCTGAACTGACTCTAATGACTTTAAAAATGTTAACAAAACTATTCTTATAAAATAAAACATTAGTTAACGTAAAATGAGTTAAGTCATTATCTTCTGGATACAATAGGTACTTTATTTTTATAAAAGTATTTAGAAAACAAATTTTCTGACACTGTACACATTAAAATTTCACTTAACATTAATATACGAGAAGTATGTTTGTTTGTTGTCATGTAGGGCCTTCCCAATTACCAGTTCTTTAATGCTTTCAAAGATTAGGAATCAATTTTTTTTTAACCCCAACTAATAAATAGTCTCTATACCTATATCGATGATCGAACCAGGCCAAGTAAGCTAATTACCTCTAAAATTTTATAGATGTGAATTCGTATGAATATTGTGGATTAATGAAAAAACATTATTTATCTGATTTTAAATTGTTTTCGTCAAGTCTTACAAAAGAGTCATGACCGCAATCAAACATGAGATGTTAAAGTAAGATTGCACATCAAAATATAACATGTACCAACATTTGCTAGAAATTGCAAGTCTATGGCCAAATCCGATGAGCTGCATCATTATGTAACGGTAATGAGGTTTATCTCCACCGATACAATATCGCTATACTATCTTTGCAAGTAGAGTAAGGTGCTGTATCTAAATATTTATAGATAACTCTCAATATTTAAATCTATAGTATAATCTATACATATAATAAAATTGTAACTAAGCCGAATCTGTACATTAAATATTTCTTGGGAAATCTTATTGAAATAGACATTATTATCGATACAGAGTCCGAATCTATAGTTTTTATAATTTTTGTCTGTCTAGTCTGTTACCGCATCACAGCAAAACTACTGGAGGGAATTTGATGAAATTTAGTATGGTCATAGTTGGTTATCCGGGTCAACATATAGGATACTTTTTACCGCAGGAAAATATCTCATTTCTGAGAAAAAATACAAAAACTGGTTAGAATAAAACCACGATGGTACTATTTATTTTAGCAAGGTAACATACTAACTATGGCAAAAACTATTAAAAATAGCTTAGCGTAAAAAAATTAACAATAGCGCTATTTTATTTGGTTTTTGGTCATCTGAACGCGGGCGGAGCCGCGGGCAATGCTAGTAGTATAATAATAGTAGAGGTCAAATGTCCGTACATAGCAAAAAAATGCTAAAAACCGAGTCAGGGGGATATAAAAAGACAAATAGAACAAATCCAGATTTTTTTCAATTTTTTGTTTCTCTGTCTGTTTGTCTGTTTGTACGGGCGAATCTCCGAATCTATTGGACCGATTTAAATGAAATTTTGCATGGTGGTACCTTATATCCCCGGGCAACATTTTAGATACTTTTTATCCCGGAAAATTAAGAATTTCCCGTGGGATAGTTAAAAAACTATAATAACTTATACAGCTTAGTACACAAAAACTACTGATTGGATTTTAATAAAACTTTACAATAATATAGTTCATACATGACAACAATTTTTCAATTCATCCCGGAAAATTAAAGGGTTCCCGTGGGACAGTCAAAAAACTATAGTAACTTATACAGCTTAGTACACAAAAACTACTGATTGGTATCTGATTGATGAAACTTTACAATAATATAGGTCATACATCAGAATAACAAATAGGTTACTTTTTATCTCGGAAAAATGTACAGTTCCCGTGGGATAGATGTTTTCGTTTATTTGTAACGTATTATGTACACAACATAGACCATAAAATAATAGTTGTTAAAAAATTTGTCTCTTGGCTTTATGTCTTTTTTTGTATGCGCGTTTCACGTGAAAAGTAATGAACCGATTATAACGAAATTTGGTGAAGTGATTACTCGATTTCGATCGATCGACTTATTACTCGAGTCAACGTTTAGGATACCTTATACTTCAAGAAATTTTTCTTTCTCCCGGGAAGATACAATAACTGGTTTTATCGAGTCCTCCCTAAAAACCTTCCGCTGGCTAAACCTTTAGACATACATACCTACATCAAAACAATATACTAAAAAATTGTAGGTCTTGAAAAGTCCTACAGGAAAGTTCTGAATAGTATATGTATATCTCCTAAGCAATATCTATCCTTATCTATACCTATAATAAAACGAACTTAGTCAAATCGACGTGCGCGTTTCACGCAAAAAGTACTGAACCGATTTTAACAAAATTTTGTATACTGATAACTTAGTATTTGGGTCAACATTTAGGATGCCTTTTACGACAGGCAAATTATTCATTCCCTCGGGAAAACACAATAACTGGTTCTATCGAATTGTCCTTAGAATATAAATAATAAAATTAGATCATTTTATTCTTGCTTTAAAAGTTATATAAATATTTTACCCTATAAAATATTATTAAAGAACAATAGAAATACGAATTCTGAATGTTCATAAATGAATTATATTATCTTACAAACTAGCATTGCCCGCGGCTCCGCCCGCGTTCAGATGACTAAAACCCAAATTCTTAGGTTTTATATATTAGTATACTCTTACATTGCGGTTTTGTATTTTTTCTCA